TACACTATTCAAAATAGGGAAACATGTGTCTGGCAAATGTGAATATTATGGACAAGCTGAAGCAGTAGAACATATGGTGATGTGTTGTAAGAAGCAGGAAGAAGAAATTTGGTTAGAGACATAAATAAGGAGAAAGGTAAATTTGATTTGATAGATATTCTGCAAAAAATTTGTTATCAATATTTATTTAAATATCTAATAATAGGAATAATTAGGAGGATTAATTATTGTAAAGTAATATTATAGAAATAGATATATAGATAAATAAATATAAGTATCTGTATGAATACGGCCATTCTGATTAACACTCTTCACCAGTTGGTAGCGGTAATGCACACCAGAAAAGTTGTTTGCCAACAGCCATTAAACGCAACAAGACAAGACCAGCCCTAATATTATTGGCTTTACAATGGGTAGAAGACATAAAACCATTAAAAACAGTAACTTGTTCAGATTCAAGCTCTGCATTTATTAGGTTTAAAATATAACCAGTCAGATTGTGGGATGGACATTCTATTAGAAATATTTCATACATTATTTAGAATAAAGAATATGGGTTTGATTTTTGTATCTGTGTGGGTTCCAGCAAATATTGGAGTAGAAGGAAACCAGAGGGCAGATAAAATGGCAAAGAGGGCAATTCAAAATCCTATTAGTTTTACAGTTAAAACAAGTAAATCGCAGGGAAAGAGTATTATTATTAAAGAAATTCAGAAGATAGTAGGAAAAGAAGAAATGAAAGATGAAATAGAAAGGAAGAGAGAGAGGTAACAAGGTTAAGATTTGGGCAAACAGGACTTAATTATAAACTTTTGCAAATTCAAACGCATACTACTGGCAAATGTGATTACTGTGGAAAATATGAAACAATAGAACATTTTATACTGGAATGTCATAAATATGAAAGTGAGAGAAGATATATGAGGACAGAGTTTGAATGTATTAAGGAAAAGATTATTTTATTAGATATTTTAGGGAAGAATTTGGGGAGTAAACATATACAAATAATTATTCGATTTTTAAAGAAAACTAAATTATTTTATAGAATTTGATCATAGAGAGGGTGAATGTGTGTATGATATAGATGGGTAGAGTACAAAGTTATGTATAAGTGTGTCGGGTTTTTTTTTCTTTATTTATTTTCCTTAGAAATTATATATATGTTTATTAGTAGATAGTCCATCACGAACCACACTCCATACCAGTAAGTGGCGGTAATGCTACTAAAAGTTTGTTGCCAACCGCCAACAAAAATGGCTTCCACCACAGAGAAAGCGGTTCCTCACTTTGACCAGCAGGGGGCGACTCCGTTCTGCTGATCCAGCAACTCGGGTCTAGAAGAAGACCCGCTGAAAGAAGCTATGCAGAATTAAACGGTTTGAACCTAAAGTTTCGTATTGGGTTCTTCCTCCGCGTTGTTTTGGAGCTGGTTTGGAACCATTAGTGGGAAGTCTGGGCCAGGTGAGTTATTATAAGTGTTCGGAACCAGTCCAGGTGTTCCGCAGCATCTCAGGTTGGTTGAGCTTGAACCTACAGGCGGTTCTGGTGGATCGGTTCTGTTCCTAATTTAATGCATGATCTAAATTAACCCAATCTGGACCCATCTGAGTGTAAAACACATGAAAACGAAGCCAGATTGTTTTTGTTTGTTTGTTTGTTTGTTTTTTTGTTGTTGTTTTTTTTTTCAGAACCTTTACTTTAAAAAATGGTCTCGGTGATAAATAATAAGTCCTAAAAATGTTCTGAAGCTGTCATGTTACAATTTTTTAAAGTGTTAAGTAAAAGGCGTCTTCGGGGACAGATGGATGGTCATAAAATATCGGTCCTAAAACTGGGTAAAGATCAGCCGATACATTATTCCATAGAGGAGATTATAGCGATCATTTTGACATCAGTTTAGGGAAAACCAACCTATTTTAGACTTAGAATGGCTTCATGGATTCTGACTCATAGGCCCTTATTGGTAGAATTTCCTATGAACTGGAGGAGTCAGCCTTCACATTCAATTCATGTATAATAAACATATTTTGATGTTTCTTTTAGATGTTATAAAATCTCTATAAATGGCGGTATGATTTAAAAAGAACAGCAACAGAATTCAATTCAGTTTATTTCTATAGCGCCAATTCACAAGACGTGTCATCTAAATGCACTTTACAGATCATCAAGTCAGATTGATTCAAATCTAAGGAAAACCAGTTGATTGCGTCGACTCATTGACTCCAATGCAGTCCCTCACGCTAAGCGCGCTTGTAGCGACAGTGGAGAGGAAAAACCCCCTTTTAACAGGAATTAACCTCCAGCAGAACCAGACTCAGTGTGAGTGGCCATCTGCTGAGGCCGACTGGGGTTTAAAAGGGGTTAAGAATGAAATAACAGTTCAAACTTAGTCCACTAATAAGTTGTGCTGTTTTCAGAGGATGGAGAGGGCACCAGTGTGGCCCCTGAGGGCCCCTTGGTGCTCTGCCATTGCACCTGTGACCCTCTAACTGATCCCCAGTAACAACTCTTTGGGCTGATATGACTTTTTCTTTCCATGTTGATTCTAAAAATGACGCATTGATAAGAAAAATTGCCATCTAAATCTGAAGTTTAAACAACAGGAAACATTTATTGACAAACCAAACACTAACAATGTATGGAGTGAATTATGTTCCAACATTGTGGCAAGCACAGATATCAAGTTTAGTAAAAAATCTATTTTGTAAATTGAAGCTGAAAAAATGAAATCTACATATGAAAATAAAAAAAGCAGGGTTTGAGAGTAACTTTAGTGGTTTCTTAGATTTTTTTCAAATGAATTTTCCACATTCTATTATTTCAAAAATGTGTTTTTACAGCTTTCATATTTCAATTTTTTTTATTTTCTTCACTTTTATGTCAAATAAAAATTGTTCACATGAAGTTTTACAAATTGCTTTCTTTTCAAATTGCGTGTTATAAATCATGTTTCTCTTCAGTTTAATCTCTCGCTCCTGACGCTCACTGACCAATAACATGTCGAGTGAGGATGTCACTCCAGGGAAAGCCCTCCCCCAGAAGTGAAGAGGATATGATCTAAAAAAAACTAACTTGAAAAGAGTAATATGTGTAAATCTCAATCTGAAAAACAGGAAAAAAGTTATTAGTATATTATATTAGTAGTATTATATTAGTATGTTACTATTATTCCTCCTCATAGAGCTTCACAGTTGGGGGTCCGTCCCTGAAGGCATACAGGTTTACTGAAAGCTTTAAGTTCATATTTAAGCATCAAATCCAATGTGAAGAAAAATTATTAAATTATAACTCACATAAATGACACAAATTTATGTTTACAAAGGCTAGTATTACAGAGAACATGTTTGTTTTCTGAATGCTCCAAGGTAACAAACACTGTAGGACTCCTAAGTCTGTGCTGATCATATAACACCAGCTTGCCTTCATGACCAAAACAGCTCTTCTCACCTGCTAAATTAATTCACAAAATGAATATCAAATAAATACAATTTCTTAATTTTGTTTTGTTGTTACACTGGGAAACAGTTTTGGGTCTTATGGCAGGAGATCACTGTGATCCTGCTGTAGCTCCTGAACTGTTAATTAAAATTTTAGTTTGGGGGTGGGGGGGCATGTAGATATTAAATGGGACGGACTCTAAGGTGGACCCTTGGGGATCGCCACATGTGAGTTAAAATCTGTTAAGATTCCAAAATAGGAAAAACCTGCAGAGGCAGAACCAGATCATCCTGGGATTAGTCAGGAAGATGGGGATGGGTCAGCTGAAGTGTGACATCTAAGACCTACCCTGATGCTCCTCTGCAGGCATGTCCACCCAGGTGTGGTGCTTGTCGTTCCGGATGCCATACGCCGGTCTGGTTCTGGACGGAATAAAGACTGTTGAGAGCCGCTGGCGACCTCTGCTGGCACCTCTGGAGAACCAGACCCTTGCGATCCACATCGCCTGGCGGGACTGGGAGGGAGATGACTGGCGGGCAGTGCTGAGTGGGGTGTTGGGGATGAGTGACACTCGGATTCAGGAGCTGCTGGACTCCGGGGAGCGGTTTGGTCGTGGTGTGGTGGCAGGTAGGTGATGAACTCAAACTTGGTTGAAGCTTACACAGTGCCCCTCATCCCTGTTTCAGGAAGCTGGCACAACATACTCTGACATGCCTCATATTATTTAAACCATAAAAGAAGCTGCCACACTAAAACATGTCAGAACCAACCAGGAGAAACAGGAAAGATATGGAGTCAATTTTGGTCCAGTATTGTTGCAAACAGCACCAGTAACTTTATTTCAGCAATATAGAAATTAAACTTAGAAAACTTTTAATCATCATGAAATTATCAGTTTATTTGATAAAATATTATTTAAACTGTACTACTGTTGATCCATTATTTATTTCTAATCCAGAATGGATTTAAAACCACACATATAAAGCCTTAAATAACCAAGCTCCATCCTATATCAGGGATGCAATTGTTCCTAACAGAGTACATTTACTGGAGGTTTACTAGTGGTTCCTAGAATTTCTAAAACTAGAATGGGAGGCAGATCTTTTAGTTGTCAGGCTTCT